TGGCTGCCTCCGCCACACCCCCTACTGGGTATCCAGCCTGCAACCCAGGCACATGGCCAGGCCATTATTCTTACTTTATTTTTTAAATATATTTTATTGATTTTTTATAGGGAGGAAGGTAGAGGGATAGAGAGAAACATCGATGAGAGAAAAACATCAATCAGCTGCCTCCTGCACACCTCCTACTGGGTATGGGCCCACAACCAAGGTACATGCCCTTGGCCGGAATTTAACCTGGGACCTTTTAGTCCACAGGCCAAAGCTCTATCCACTGAGCAACCGGTTAGGGCCATTATACTTATTTTAAATAGGGCTATTATGGTGGGGTTTTGTAGTGGAGTGTGTTTGTTTTCTTTGTGTGTTTTTTCGTTGCGGTGGTGGGGGCGTTTTGTTTTTCCAGGGTGGGGAAAAGAGAAATCTTATATTTGATTTGGGGGCATTTGGATTTTAGTGGCCACCTGTCTCCTTTAGATGGTATCTGAGCTGCAAGGGCTCTTTGGAGATAATAGAGATACAATTTCCTCTGTGTAAAGATGGGGAAACTGAGGCCCTCAGAGGTCATGATAGCAGAACAGATGCCTCCCCCATCCCAGGAGCTTTGTCAGAACCCGCCACCACCTGGTGGTCTGACTGCAGCGGTTCCTGCAGCAGCTGGGCGAGCGTCAGGAGCAGCACTCTGCTGCCACCTACTGCCCAACCCTCTGCAGAGACACAGGACAGGGAAGATCCTCCTCTTCCTCTGCCTTCACCCCGCCCCCTTGCCAGCCTCACTGCACTGAATTCCATGCAACCTGTCAGAGCTATGACAGAGCAGTGATTACTGGCATAATCTGTGGTTACAGACAAACGCAGGTGTGAATCTCAGCTCTGCCTGTTTCTAGCTATGTGTCCCAGCACAAGTCACTTAACTTCTCTGACACTTTCCCCATATGTAAAATGTGGATAACAGTGCTTACCTCAAAGCAATTAAAATAAATGCCTGAGATTTGAGACAACAAATATTTACAGAGGGCTATAACTTACACACTGTTACCAGTGCCAAGATGCAGCAGTGACCTGAACAGACAAGTCCAGTGGTTCTCAAAGTGTGGCCTCCAGACCAGAGATCAGCACTACCTAAGAACTTGTGAGAAAGGCAAATCCTCAGGCCTCCGTGCCATATCTACCGAATCTGTGGCTGATGCATCCTCAAGGTTGAGAACCACTGGACACAGAGACATTTATCAGGTGGGCTCAGTGTTAAGAATATCACACATCTGGGCCAAGGTCTTCTGACCCTCCTGGACGACAGAAAGCCACATCATCACAAAGTTCAATGAAGGTGAACAAGCAGAAACAGCTGCAAGGCCTCAAATGTAGATGGTTTTCTCCAGAGATTTGCTTTTGTTTCTGCCAAGAGCCCAGGAACACTCCTACCTGGGACATTAGCCCAGAAACTGAGGATTTTGTTTACTGTGAAGGCCAAGTTCAGCTCCCTCACCTTGGAGCTAGGAACAGAGCTTAAGTTTAACCTCCTGGCCTTGATTCTTGTATCTGCCCTAGTGGCTACCCCAGCCTTCTTTGCCTATAGCTCTCTGTTCCCTAACCCATTTCATCTTGGTGTCCTTTTCTTCCTCATTTCTTTAATGCTTTGGGAGGGAGGAGGGTGGGGGGAAGGTTTCTTTACTTCTTTGGAGCCCAAGAACACGTCTGTTTTAATTTATCCAGTATCTAGAAAGGACCTGCAAACAATCTAGTTAACTATAGAAGATGGAAGCCCATTCATCCATTCTTTCAATGATTCATCAAACCCAAACTTTGCAGACTGGGCTGGTGCTGGGGCAGCAGACAATAAACAAGACATTCTCCCTGTCCTCTCAGAGTTCAGAGGTTAGGGAAATGGGCTATTAGGACAGAGGGTGACCAGTAGTGCCATGCAGGTGTATGGATGCTGTGGGAATTCAGTGGAGAAGCACCTTGAGCGGCAACCAGAAAAAGACAACTTTGGAAGTGATAAAAACTGATTCTAGCCAATAAGCAGAAGGCAGGGAGGCCAAGCGGGGGAAGCAGATACTAAGAACCAAGCTGGGAGGAAGAAATCATGAAGACATGGAGAACTGGAAAAGTGAAAGAACTAGCTTGGCTTGGGCAAAGGGATAAAGAGTAGGATAAAGCCGAAACCGGTTTGGCTCAGTGGATAGAGCGTCAGCCTGCGGACTGAAGGGTCCCAGGTTCGATTCCGGTCAAGGGCATGTGCCTGGGTTGTGGGCACGTCCCCAGTAGGGGATGTGCAGGAGGCAGCTGATCGATGTTTCTCTCTCATCGATGTTTCTAACTCTCTATCTCTCTTCCTTCCTCTCTGTGGAAAATCAATAAAATATATTTAAAAAAAAAAAAAGAAGAGTAGGATAGGGCCAGATAAAACACTGGCAATTTGTGCAAGAGATTGGATTCTAGAGTGAAGACAATAGGGTGAGGCAGTGATAAAAATAGCTGCGATGGAGTGATATGATCCAATTAGTTTTAGATTACCCTGCTGCAGGGGGGTCTAGGATAGGCAGAAGTCAGGGGGAAACCAAGAGACTTGTTAGGAGAGTGTTTTGTAGCTCAGGTAAGAGGGAAGAGCCAGAAGTTGGGGCCATCTCACAGGACCTGGTTGGGTTGCAGTTACAGCCAGTGGCATCAGGTTCACCTACCAAAGTTAGGATTCCATGGTCTGCAATCTCAGGTGGCCAACAGCTCAGTTCTGCCTTGCCCGCCTCAGTGGCCAATAGGCTGCTACATCGCAACTTGAGCTGCAGAAATTAGCTCACCTTAAAAACAAAACGCTGAAAGGAACTGCTTTCAAAGACCTGGCTGACTGCATCCCTGGTTACCAAGGAACAGCAGGCCAAGTTGCAAAGTCCCATCACAGGAAATAAAAAGAATGCTCTAGCAACCACCAGCATTTTCCCACCAGGATCCGGCCAGCTGTCATTCATGCTGCTTGGCATAAGAACTGAACAAGCATAAGAATAGCAGCTTCTTCAGTGCCAGGCACTGCGCTAAATACTTTAATCTTATTTAATTCTTGTGATACCATATGAGGCAGCCATTATCATGGGAATTTTCAGTAATGGCTGAGAGGTCAAGTTAACTTGCCTGAAAGTTATGAGTCCGAGGCTGAGGAACTAGGATTTTCATCCAGGCATGTCCACCTCTTGAGGGTCTGTGCACCACATCCTGCCTTAGAAACCAGCTGACAGTAGGAAAGCACCCTCATTTTTTTTTCCTGTCTATTTTAGGATTACTTTAAATTTACCCCGAAGTGAAGCTTCTATATGCCACTCATCCAGTTTCCTGTAATGTTAACATCTTGTTACCATGTACACTTGTCAAAATCAAGAGCCTACTAACTGGACTCCAGTTCTTATTTATATATTTTAAAATATTTTAATTGATTTTTTTGAGAGGGAGAGGTACATCAAACGAGAAACATCAATCGGCTGCCTCCTGCACAGCACCTACTGGGGACCAAACCCCCAACCTGGGTATGTACCCTGACTTTTCTTTGCATGGGATGTGCTCAACACCTGAGCCACACCAGCCAGGGCTAGATTTTTTTTTTTTTTTTACATGAATGCCCTCTCTCTAGTCCAGGATCCACTATATTGTTATGTCTCCTTAAGCTCCTCTGCTCTTCTCTGTACTTATTTTTCATGACTTTTGACGATTTTAGTTTTGTACAATGTCCTCGAATTGGGTTATGGGTTTTCAGAAATATTGCAGAGATGAAGTGTTCTCATTTCATCCTATCAACGTGATTTATCACAAATACTGTCAACTTTAATAATAGTTTAAGGTCTCTCCAAAGCAAAGCTAGCATTTTCCCTCTTCCAGGTTCTAGTCTCTGGAAAAGGAGTCACCAAGTGCAGCCCACACTCAATGGGAGGAAAAATTAATTTTAAAGTACAGGAAAGAGGAATATCTATATTATTTGGAATTTTTATATTTGTAACTTCATTTACAAAAATCACATTAGCATGGGCTCATTTGGGTAGTAATCACATTTATTTTTAAGATTTAGAAAATCCAAAAAGGTTGACTTGTTCATTAAGGTAAGTTGGTAGGAGCCAGGGGTAGGCCATGGCTCTTCCAAGTGGGAAGTTGTATGAAGAATGTGGCCTGTGTGTCCAGACAATGGGACATTATTCAGCAATAAAAAGGAGTGAAGTCCCGATGAACCTTGAAAACATGTCGCTTTCCTACCTCCTCCAATAAGCCATTGGTTGAACAATCACCATCACAGGGCCCTATGACAATCCCTTGCAGAACACTCAGTACCATCTGGCATTACTGGGTCCTTGGAGCTGGATACAAGCTTACGGAAGGCAAAACTTTTATCTTTTTCATTGCCGATGAAAATAGGGCTTTGGTGTGTATTTGTGGAGTGGCTGAATCTTTATGTACTGATGTGGAACAATCTTTAAGATCTGCCAAGTGAGAAAAGATGCAATAGAGCGAGCTACCAATTTTGCACATAAGGTATGGGAGGGCGAGTCTACACCCACACGTGTTTATATATGGCTCCGTCTGGAAGGCTCCTCTTCTGCTCAGGCTACACTTGGCTCAACAGTTTCCACTCCGGTTCTTTAAGGGCCGTTTTTGGAACCAAGATCGCCACCTTCTAAACAAGGTCTCTAAGGACTTCATCTGCTTTAGGTGACTGAGGTAATAATGCCCAGGCAGAGTACAAAAGACTCAACTGTAGCACCAACATCTCCCCACCTCTTAGGTGCGTCCTCCCAGGAAGCCAGTTCGCAGAACGCAGGCTCACCCACTGACCCATGAAGGGGCTGAATCAAACCCTCCTGTGTTCCTGTGTGATAGGTTATGTCCTCTGAAGCAGTATTTACCTGCTGATTTAGCTCTGCACCTGTGATCTCAAGTCAGCCCCACACCCTGGTTAAATGCAGATAGAGAAAAGAATTAAACTTCCCTGAGGTGTGGACCCAACATGAAGGAGACCACTGGAGTCAAAATAGCGGTCACAAAGGCAATTTATTAACAGAAAATAATTTGAGGAGTCCTGTTCACAGACGGCGACCACGGCGACCCCCCTTTCTGCGGGTGCTGTCGGAGGGGATGGGAGTGACATCCTCTGTGGGGAGGAACAGAAAACATCATTGCCTAGAGCTGAATGGGAAGAGGTCCAGGCCTCTCTAGGCCAGTGCTGTAATGGATCAGTAGTGGATCCTGCTGCTCCCCAATGAGTCCTCAGTATATAACAGATGGCCATGGAGCTGCCTCATCCTCAAAATTTCTGAAGTGGTTTGAACTCACTTTCGAGAAAGGGAAGCTGAGGCTCAGAAAGGGCACACAACTTGCAGAGCCTGTCAGAAGCAGGCGGCAAAATCCAGGTTCTTGACACCTAGCCCAGTGTAACTGAAGACTATCTCCTTTTCAATATTTAAAAGGTTGAAAATATTCAGGGGGAAAAAAATTTTAAAGCGAAGGCTGGACTGAGGAATCAGTACACATTGCCATCAAGTGCACAGAAACAATACAGAAGGGCTAACACGTATGGCTACACAAATGTAGGGAACTTGCTGGGATTCTCAACCATGGGAATTGCTGCCCTCTGCATTCATTTTTGTCACAATCACTGGTATGTCCTACTGATAGTTACAGGCATACCCTGGAGATATTGCAGGTTCAGTTCCAGATGACTCCAATAAAGTGAGTCACACAATTATTTTACACACTATGTTGTGTAAACATAGGTACCATAAGTGTGCAGCAGTTGTCTAAAAATAAATGTACATACCTCAAAAATTGTATTATTGCTAAAAACTGGTAACCATCACATGAGACTGTTGTAGAAATGGCACTGATATACTTGCTTAATGCAGGGCTGCCCAAAACCTTTAATTTGTACAAAACACATCCATGAAGCATAATAAAGCGAAGTACAATAAAGGAAATTTTGCCTGTAGTAGGCAAAGACCCACAGGAGGCAGCCCAAACAAAATGCCAGTAGTAACCCCCTTGAGAACACTGTAAAGACAAGGATAATTCCTCTCCTCTTAGTTCCACCAGCCACTGTCCGTCAGAGGTTCAGAGATTTATCACGTGGCACCTCTCACGCTCTGCATTAACAAACCTAACTGCCAACAGTCATCATACCAAGCCCTATATCCATTGGGAACACCATATGCTTTCTGGAGTCAATGCTTCAAAGCATATCCAAGCATTAGCTCCAGGAGGGCACTTACCAATCCGTCCGATCTTCATTCCCGAGCGGGCAAGGGCTCTTAGAGCTGACTGGGCTCCTGGTCCAGGGGTCTTGGTCCTAGGAAATGAAGACCTAGTCATTCAGGATTCTAAGATCTCACAACCCTCTAGTTCAGAGACCTGCAAATTTTCCTTAAAGGGCTAGACAGTAAATATTTTAGACTTAGTGGGCCACTTACAAGTTTATGACAAACTAAAAAAAAGTACTAAAAACATAAAAAATATTCTCAGTCCACAGACCATACAAAAAACAGTGGCAGGCCAGATTAGGCCACTGGGTCAGTTTACACCCTGTTCTACCTGCAGCCTATTTAAAGCACCGCCCCTCCCTTTCACCTACATGCTCGAAGAATTCTGTCTTCTTCAGTGATCTGTCCATTTCCAACTACTCCACCCACCCAAGACACTACCATCTCTCCACTGGACCAGTTTAATAACTTCCTGTCTGGTTACTGCCTACACAGCAGTCATCTTTAAAAAACCCAATCCCGCCTTAGCTGGTTTGGCTCAGTGGACAGAGCTTCAGCCTATGGACAGAAGGGTTCCGGGTTCGATTCCCGTTAAGGACATATGCCCACGTTGCAGGGCTTGATCCCCGGTAGGGGGCATGCAGGAGGCAGCCAATGATTCTCTCTCATCATTGATGTTTCTATCTCTCCCTCTCCCTTCCTCTGAAATCAATAAAAATAAAATTTTTAAAAAATAATAGAATTTAAAAAATTAAAAAACCCAATCCCACCCTAGCCAGTTTGGCTCCGTGGATAGAGCATCGGCCTGCAGACTGAAAGGTCCCGGGTTCGATTTCGGTCAAGGACACATGCCCAGGTTTCGGGCTCGATCCCCAGCAGGGGGCCTGCAGGAGGCAGCCAATCAATGATTCTCTCATCACTGATGTTTCTCTCTCTCCCTGATTAAAAAAATAATAAAATTAAAAAATAAACAACCCAATCCCATTGGTCATTACCATTAGAGTATTTATCCTCGCTACCCCCAGTCCCAACAGAACCTCTCTGATTACACTTCACACCACTCTCCCTCAGATGTGCCAAGTTCATTCCCATCTTAGGACCTTTTTCTAGCAGCTAAATTACACTTTACCACCAACCCATCCCCAAAACCTTTTTGCTTCTCAGCACTTGCCACAAACAGAAAACACCCCCCCCATGTTGTTTAAAGTCTGACTGCAACAGCCAATGTGCCACACAAGAGGGTAGAGACCATCTACTTTCCCCCCATCACCCTCTTCTAACAGCTAAAACAGAGAATCTGGTATGCAGTGAGTGCTTCATAAATACAGTAAATTGGGCTGGGAGAGTGAGTGCACAGTACACAGGAACCAATTATTAATTACATATATACACAAGATGTCTTGTGCAGGGTCACAAAAGAAAACCAAGTCTCAAATCCAGGTGTTCTGGCACCCAAGCCCAGGGGTCTTACCTCTCAGCCTCAGCCTTACCTATTTCCTCCTGTGGCCCGGAGTTTTATGTGAAGAGCAGTGATGCCCAGCTCCTTGCACCTCTGGGCCACATCCTGGGCAGCCAACATGGCAGCATATGGAGAGGACTCATCTCGGTCAGCCTTCACCTTCATCCCACCAGTCACACGGCAGATGGTTTCCCTGGGACAAAAAGCACAGGGTCATTTCTTTCTCATCCAACAAGGACTCAGAGTGTCATGTCCTAATGAGTCAAGAGCGCCACGGCTGGGTACAGCAGAGGATGGAGGTCATGCATGCTAGGCTTTGAGAAGGCCGTGAGGGCTTTCATGGGCAGTCTCAAGTTCCACTAAACTCTATATTAAACTATATATTGACTTACTTTTGCATTTCATTCTCCCAATTGAGGTGGGCACTATTAACCTCATTTTACATATGCAGAAACCAAACTCAGAATTTGAGCAAGTTCACAAATCACAAAAATTTGCTAATGGCAGCCAGAACCTGTATCCAGGGCTCCCTTTCAGTCCACCACTGCCTTTACCCAGAGACTGAAGATTCAATGACCACCACACTGTAAGGCCATAAACAAAGCATCTCCTCTCTTCTAGCTCCAGTGCCTGGGAAATTACCAACCAAGCATGCTTCCTTATCTGAACATTCTTCTTTTTTAAAAAAATAAATATTTTTTTATTGATTTTTTAGAGGAAGGGAGAGGGATAGAGTTAGAAACATCAATCAGTTGCCTCCTGCACACTCCCTACTGGGTATGTGCCCGGAACCAAGGTACATGCCCTTGACCGGAATCGAACCTGGGACCCTTGAGTCCGCAGGCCGACGCTCTATCCATTGAGCCAAACTGGTTAGGGCTGAACATTCTAGCAGCTAAATTACACTTTACCACCAACCCATCCCCAACACCTTTTTGCTTCTCAGCACTTGCCACAAACAGAAAACAGAAAGTTAAAGTTATTTTAAGAAACCCCCTTAAAGTGCCACCCAGTTCCAGGTCATGTCTTCCCCCAACCGCTTGCTTATTATTAGTTGGGTCCTGCACCTCTCCACCCAGATACTCACTTGCCAGAAAGATCCGTGACATGGACGAAAGTGTCATTGAAGGATGCAAAGATGTGGCAGACACCAAATACATTTTCTCCTTCAGCCACCTGAGGCCCGAGGCTGATGACCTGTTCTTCCTTCTTTTCCTTCCCCTTGCGAGGTGCCATTTCTGAAAGGAAATCCAAAGAATCCTCAAGTTAACAGAACCCTTTTCCCCTGGCTATTATGTCCCTGGGTTCAAAAAGCTCCTAGCATTTACTTATTCTTTTGGTTTACAAAGTTAATACATAAAAAAGCACCAGCCTATTTTACTGGTCCAGTAACTGCACTGCGGAGGTAGTGCCAATACTAATCCTTATCGAGGTGGCCTAGGTGGTAATGAATGGCACATGCCAGGCACCTTTCGGTGTGGACCAGGGTCTCCGTGGACGTTCTGCACAGGATCAAAGGTCCTGCAAGGGGTCCCAGGGTAGCTGTGAACACTCTGGCAACAGGATTCCCAAGTGCGTCTTAGCGGGAAACCCAGTGTGGCCGCTCCCCACCAGCCCTGACAAAACTTGAGTCCCACCCCCACCCGTTTTTAGGATTAACAGGCAGGTGCTCAGCCAACGCTGGTGTGCAGTCCCTAACCCAGGGGTGGGCAACATTTTTGTGAGTGCGTGCCAAAACCAGCAAAATCTGACTCAAAATTCTTCCGCGCGCCAGCTCTAATTTTTTGAGAACATGTTACGCCTACTTGGTATCTCTTAAGGTGTACGTATGTGAAGAACCTTGAAGAAATAATAAAAATTCATTCGAGCGACAAAAACACAGTATATGATGATGAAAAATACATTTATTTTTTCATGTATACATGTACACTGAAATAAAAAAGTCGATATTAAGAAAAAAATTGCAAATGGAAGATTATGAAGGTTTCGAGTGCCAGCAAAAGTTACTGGCGTGCTATGTTTGGCACGCGTGCCAGGGGGTTGCCCACCCCTGCCCTAACCCCAATTTCTGGTTTTCAGAGGCCTTGTCCTGCGCGCCCAGAACTTGCAACGTGCCCGACGTAGCCGTCCCCCAGCCTTAGCAACACCCATCACAGGGCCGTTTTCCCTGCATTCCCTCTTTAAATCCTCACTACAACCCCGTGGGATCAGCGCGACAATTACTATTTTCTAAACAGTTAACAAGTTAGAGTTGAGGCGCCTGGCCTGCGACCGCCCAGAAAGAAGCTGGCGGGGTCAAGGCGGGAGCCCACATCAGACTAGATCCCCGCTCCCTCCCAACCACGCCGCGCGGTCGCTTAAACGTAGCAGTGGTCATATGCGGGGCCAAGGCCTGGAACGCGGGACCCTCACGCACCCCCACGTCACCGGCTCCTCTCTGAAGCAAGACCTCCGCTCCCCAAGACGAGGCGAGAACCTGTGACTGGGGTCGGCCGGTCGCGCTCTTCTCGCCCGAAACCTGGCCCGGCTTCCGCGGAAAGGCCCCGGACGCGCGCCCCCGGCCCCGCTGGACCCCCTTGCCACAGGATGCCACCAGATTGTCCTTGCCCAGGCCTCTTACCTGCGTGTCTCGTCCAGACTCCGCCACCGGAAAGAGAGATGGGAGAGGGCGGGACTACAGGTCACGTTAGCGTTCCCGGAAGTGTACGTCTGAGGTCACCGGGCGAGGCCTCCCGGAAGACACCGCCTTCGGCACTCCCGAGGAGATTAAGACGCGCCCGCGAAAAGACGGTTTACTTAAGCGAGTTCTAAAGGAGGTAAGGGGTTGGGTGTAGCCGGCAGCGGGCCGGTCTCAGACTGCACCGTGCAGCCACATCTGCCGAGAGAGGCAGGCCTGTGTTTTAAGATGGCAGTCGCCCCGGCTAGAAGACTTCCGCCGTTCTGACCCCGGGCCTGGTCAGCCTGGGGGCGCAGCGCACCTAGTGGCGTGGAGGGGAACAACAAAAATAAAACGGGCAATGAAGAGATTAAGCAAAAACAAGCTAACAAAAAAACCTCATAGACAAAAGTTTGGTGCTTGCCAGGGGAGATGGAAGAGGGCTGAGGGGGAATAAATGGTGGCAGAAAGAGACTTGACTTTGGGTGGTGAGTGCACAGTGCAGTATGCAGGTGATGTTATAGAGTTGTATACTGGAAATCTATATGGTTTTATTAACCAGTGTCACTCTAATAAATTCAATTAAAAATTAAAAAACAGCCCTTGCTGGTTTGGCTCAGTGGATAGAGCGTCGGCCTGCGGACTGAAGGGTCCCAGGTTTGATTCTGATCAAGGGCACACGTCCAGGTTGCAGGCTCATCCCCAGGAGGGGGCGTGCAGGAGGCAGCCTATCAATGATTCTCTCTCATCATTGATGTTTCTATCTCTCTCTCCCTCTCCCTTTCTCTCTGAAATCAATAAAAAATATATTTAAAGACAATTAAAAAACAGGCAATCAGAGTTTGGCGTACTATGTACCGGACACAATAAGAATAAATTATCCAGAGTCAGGGGCCCGGGAGGACATCAAATGGCTGTCCAAGGAGAGCTTCAAGTTCAGTTCAAACTTGTATTGGTTGAAGATGGTGGAACAGGAAAAACTACATTCGTGAAACCTTATCTGACGAATGAATTTGAGAAGTATGTAGCTACCTTGGGAGCTGAGGTCCATTCCCTCCTGTTCCACACCAACAGAGGGTCTATTAAGGTCAGTGTATGGGATACAGCTGGTTAGGAGAAACTTGGTGGACAAAGAGATGGCTCTTACATCCAGTCCAGTGTGCCATTATAATCTTTGCTGTAACTTCCAGAGTTACTTACAAGAATGTGCCTAACTGGCATAGAAATCTGATAGGAATGTGTGGAAACATCCCCATCATGTTGTGAGGCAACCAAGTAGATGTTAAGGCAAAATCAGTTGTCTTCCACTGAAAGAAGAATCTTCATTAGTACGACATTTCTGCCAAAAAAAAAAAAATACAACTTTGAAAAATCCTTCCTCTGACTTGCTAGAAAACTAATTGGAGACTCTAACTTTGGCATTTGTTGCCATGCCTGCTCCTGTCCCACCAGAGGTTGTCATGGACCCAGCTTTGGGAGCACAGTTTGAGCATAACCTAGAACAGGGCTGGGGAACATCCGGCCCATGGACCCATAAGGCCCACGAAATCATTTGGTCTGGGCCTGCCAAGGCATTAGGGGTGAGTTCATTAAAAGTGTGACTAACTGTAGCAGGCTGATTTCTAAGTTAATAATTGTGTATGGCCCGAGAATCCTATGTAATAAAAGGCTAATATGCAAATTATCCCCTCCCCGGGGAGTTTGACTAGGGGACAGGGCTGGCCAGCCACCCACCCGTGGCCCCTCCACCCAGCCAGCCCCATCCCAATTGGCCCCACCCACCCCCGATCAGGGCTGGGGCGAGCCAGCCAACTTCCTGTGTCCCCCCACAGCGATAGGGGGCAGGCTGGACCCCACCTGTACACTAATTCATGTACTGGGCCTCTAGTAATGTTATAAATATCCAAATGGTCTTTGGCAGAAAAAAGGTTCCCCACCCCTGATCTAGAGGTTACTCAGACCACTGCTCTGATGAATGAGGATGACGACCTGTGAGAAGGTGAAGTTGGGGCTCAGCATCAGAAATCTAGTTTTATGGGCAACTGTCCTGCGATGTCAGTGGTGCAGCGTGTTTGCCGCTTCATTATATAGCTAAGCAGAACATGTGCTTGATCTTTGGGATGCTGAAGGAGATGAATGGGCTCTCAGAGCAAATGTGGCCGTTAGAAAAATAACTTCATTTTGGGGGCTTGCATATTTAGCTGTTTTAGAACACAGTTGTTTCCTTGCTTTTTTAAAAATTGATTTTAGAGAGAAAAAGAAAGAAAGAGAAACATCGCTCTGTTGTTCTGCTTCTTTATCCACTCATTGGTTGATTCTTGTATGTGCCCTGACCAGGGATCGAACCCACAACCTTGGCATATCTGGAGAATGCTTTAACCAATTGAGCTACCTGGCTAGGGTTTCCTTATTGAGTTTCAAATATAAGACTGTTACAGTCACATCACAATATTCAGTGTTAAAACTTTGTTTGATACTGAATATTCCTATTCCTTTTTATTTAGAATCAGAGTAAAGTTGCATTTCAAATATCTAAAAGAAAAAATAAATTATTCAGTGCTTGTTATTGTATTCCAACCTGGGATAAGTGATTTATATGCATTGCTTCATTTAATCCTCACAGCATGATCAAATAGATACTGTTTTGATTTCCCACTTATAGATAAGGAATTTTAACTGAGATTGCACATTCATGACCAATTTGGTATTCTGATTTCAAAGCCTATACGTTTAATAGCTACTTCCATATATCCCTCTAATAACACTATTGAAAGACCTTAAAAGATTAGAAAAATGTACAGATAAGATATGTGGAAGGGCTAAGAAGTAGGTTGTATATATTTGTGTGTGTATGTATATGTGTGCATGTACATATATATGTATAGGTGTATATGTATGTATAGGATAAAAAATCCATGCTCATTACAAACAATACACATAATACAGAAAAGTATATGTAAAAAGATAAAAGTCATCTCTATATTTTTTCTTCTAGAGAGACCACCATTATCAAATTGGAACATCAATCCAGAAATAACTTTCTATACTTACATCTATTCCTATATTTTAATATGTAATATACAATTTTTTGTAATATACAATCTTACATAAATGAAATTGTATTCTATATGCTACTTGGTAACTTTTTTTTCATCCAACATTATGGACATCTTCCCATAACAACTACTAGAGACCTGCAACATTTTAAACAAATATTTTAAATTTTATTATTTTGAATATTAAATGCATTCACAAAAATAAAAAACTGCAAAGTTACCAAAAAGTACACAAAGAAACCAACAAAAACCCTCCATTGCAGCTCTGTCCCTAGCAACCCAATCCTCTTCCTTGTCAGCAACCAGAAATCTGTATTGCATGATATTCTTTTGTATAGCTGTAGCACTAATTTTTTTAACCAGTTCTCTATTGTTAAATATTTTGGTTATTTCCAGAATTTGCAAATATAGACAAAACTGTCAAGAACAACCTGTGCTGTTTTTTCCTCAGGGTAAATTGCCAGAAGTTGAAAGGCATAGGGATTTTACATATAGATATATGTTGCTAAACTGCCCTCCAGAAAGTTCATGTCAATTTTTATTTCTGCTAAACTGAAAATATCTCCTTGTGGTATTTCTTCCATGGTTAGTAAGCTCAGCCGTCTCTTCATGGATTGTTTTGAGCATTTGCCTTCTTCTGTGAATTGTCTATTTTTATTCTTTGAAAAAGAAGGCTCTTTGTGCTCAAGTAGTGAGTTCCCCAATAGAGGAGGTATGTTAGCAGAGACTGGAGTCTTGTGGGGGGATTCCAGATCTCTCAGCCTCAGCAAGGAAAGGCCTGGTGAAATGAGCACAGCTTGATCTTATGGCTGAAGGCAATTCACACAATTCCCTTAGAACAAATTTCTCCACATGAAAGTCTTATCTTCATCCCAGAAACCATTAAAGTCACTGCTTTCAAACTCCACTTTGATTATTTAATCAACATGTTTATTATTTTTACAAAGAGTTATTAGTTGTGGGTCCTTGGGAAAAAATTGTCACTTCTCTGGGCCTTAGTTTTCTCATCTGTAAAATGGGATAATAGCAGAATCTTTTAAAGTGTATATTGAAACATATATCTTTACTGGGTACTTACTCAGTGTTAAGCTCTGAGATGCATTTAAACTCAGACTTGAAAACAGAATAGGAATTAGCTAAATGAAGGGGGAAAGAATGGCCTAAGCAGGAAAAAAATAGTAAATGCAAAGGTCCTGAAGTGGGAAGGCACTTGGAGAGTTCAAGGAAATCAAAACATGGCCAGTCCCGTGGGGGTACTGTGCATGCAGGAAGAGGGATGGAAGGTCAGACTGGAGGAATGGTGGGAGCCACTTTCTGCAGGGTCTTACTTCCCTGTTGTCCTGTCTGTTTTCCCCATTCCATCCCCATCCCATACATTATCAACACTGAGTACAGGAAATGTATTTACAATCACCTCATATTGTTGTTTTTTAAAGTATATTTTTATTGATTTCAGAAAGGAAGGGAGAGGGAGAGAGAAACATCAGTGATGAGAATCACTGATGGGCTGCCTCCTGCACACTGCCCACTGGGGATCGAGCCTGCACCCCGGGCATGTGCCCTGACTGGGAATTGAACCGTGACCTCCTGGTTCAGAGGTTGACACTCAACCACTGAGCCACGCTGGTCAGGCACCTCTCATAGTTTATTCATTCATTTAGCATATTCTTATTGACCATAGGAGTGACTGGCCGAGATGGGCTTGGGGAGAAGATCATTAGAGAAGAGCAGGGACCAGATGCTGGCAACGTCATCCATGTGAATATTGAAATGACCAAGAACTAAGACAGCAAATCAGTATTATATGAAATGCTGAAAGGTATTCTTTAAGAAATGGAAGAA